TTTCTAGTATATTTTGAAGTCAAGGATTGTGATGCCTCGGGCATTGTTCTTTTTTCTCAGGGTCTTTTGTTACCCCACATAAATTTTAGGATTCTTTGTTCCATTTCCATGAAGAATGTCATTTGGATTCTGATTGGGGTTGCATTGAATCTGTAGATTGCTTTAGGTAGTATAGACATTTTTACTGTGTTTATTCTTCCAATTCAGTGTGCATAGAATATCTTTCCATTTCCTTATGTCATCATTGATTTCTTTCAATAATGTCTTATAGTTTTCATTGTATAGGTCTTTCACCTCCCTGGTTAAATTTATTCCTAGATATTTTATTCTTTTTGTTGCGATTGTAAATGAGATTGTATTCTTGAGTTCTCTTTCTGGTAGTTCATTATTAGAGTATAGAAATGCAACTGATTTTTTAAAGCTGATTTTGTACCCTGCAACTTTGCTGTAGTTGTTGATTATTGTAATAGTTTTCCAATGGATTCTTTAGGGTTTTCTATATGTAAAATCATGTCATCTGCAAACAGTGGGAGCTTGACTTCTTCCTTTCCAGTTTGGATTCCTTTTATTTCTTTTTCTTGCCTAATTGCTCTGGCCAAACCTCCGATACTGTGTTGAATAAGAGTGGCAAGAGTGGCACCATTGTCTGTTCCTGTTCTCAGAGAGATGGCTTTCAGCTTCTCCCTGTTGAGTGTGATGTTGGCTGTGGGTTTGTCATATATGGCCTTTATTACATTGGCATATTTTCCTTCTATACTCATTTTATTGAGAGTTTTTATCATAAATGGATGTTGGATCTTATCAAATGCTTTCTCTGCATCTATTAAAATGATCATATGTTAATGTTAATTTTGTGTATCACAATTGATTTGCAGATGTCAAGCCATCCCTGCATCCCTGGTATAAATCCCACTTGATCATGGTGTATGATCCTTTTAATGTATTGCTGCATTCAGTTTGCCGATATGTTCTCCTTGTCTGGCTTTGGGATCAGGGTGATGTTGGCCTTGAAGAATGTGTTAGAAAGTGTTCCATCTTCAATTTTTGGAATAGTTTGAGAGGGAGAGGTATTGTCTTCTTTGAATGTTTGGTAGAACTCTCAAGAGAAGCCATCTGGTCCTGGACTTTTTATTTTGGGGGAGGTTTTTGATTAATGTTTCAATCTCTTCGCTTGTACTTGGCCTATTCAGATTCTCTATTTCTTCTTGATTCAGTTTTGGGAAGTTATATGAGTCTAAGAATTTATCCATTTCTTCTACATTGTCCACTTCATTGGCATATAGTTTTTCATAGTATTCTCTTATAATCCTTTGTATTTCTGTGGTATCCATTGTAATTTCTCCTCTTTCATTTCCAATTTTATTTGAGCCTTCTCTCTTTTTTTTCTCAGTCTGGCTAAGGGTTCGTCAATTTTGTTTCTCTTCTCAAAGAACCAGCTCTTAGTTTCATTGATCCTTTCTACTGTTTTATTGGTTTCAATTTCATTTATTTCTCGTCTAATATTTATCATTTCCCTCCTTCTGCTGAGTTTGGACTGTGTTTGTTCTTCTTTTTCTAGTTCTGTTAGGTATAGCTTAAGATTGCTTATTTGAGATTTTTCTTGTTTGTTAAGGTGGGCCTGTATTGTTAGGAATTTCCCCTCTTAGGACTGCTTTTGCTGCATCCCATATGAGTTGGTATAGTATATTTTCATTTTCATTTGTCTCCAGGTATTTTTTGACTTCTTTAATTTCTTCAGTGATCCATTGGTTGTTCAGTAGCATGTTGTTTAGTCTCCACATATTCGTGACTTTCCCAGCTTTCTTCTTGTAGTTGAATTCTAGTTTCTTAGCATTATGGTTGGAAAAGATGCTTGATATGATTTCAGTCTTCTTAAATTTATTCAGTCTTGCCTTGTGTCCCACCCTATGGTCTATCTTTGAGAATGTTCCATGTGCACTTGAGAAGAATGTACAATCTGCTGTTTTGGGATGGAGTGTTCTGCATGTATCTATTAAGTCCATCTGGTCAAGTTTTTCATTTGATTCTACTGTTTCCTTGTTGACTTTCTGTCTGGATGATCTATCTATTGATGTAAGTGGAGTGTTAAGGTCCCCTACTATTATTGTGTTGCTTTTAATTTCTTCTTTTAGGTCTGTTAATAGTTGCTTTATGCACTTTGGTGCTCCTGTGTTAGGTGCACATATATTCATAAATATGTCCTCTCAGTAGAGTGTCCCTTTTATCATTATATAGTTCCCCTCTTTGTCTCTTATTGCTTTTTTTTATCTTGGAGTCTACTTTGTCTGATATAGGTATAGCAACACCTGCTTTCTTTTGTTTGCCATTTGCTTGGAGTATCATCTTCCATCTCTTCACTCTGAGCCTATGTTTGTCTTGGGAGCTAAGATGTGTTTCCTGGTAGCAGCATATTGTTGGGTCTTGTTTTTTCCCCCATCTCACCACCCTGTGTCTTTTGATTGGAGAATTCAATCCATTTACATTTAGAGTTATTGATATATGAGGGCTTAATGCTACCATTTTATCACTTGTTTTCCAGTTGTTCTGTATTTCCCTCATTTCTTGTCCTGTGTATTTCTGACTGCCAATTCACTTTGGTGGTTGACTATGATAGTTTTCTCAGTTTTCTCTTTATTTATTGTTTGTGTCTCTGTTCTGATCTTTTTTTTAGGGGTTACAGTGAGGTTTGTATAAGAGACCTCGCAGATGAAATAGTCCATTTCCCGATAGACTCTTATTTCCTTAGTCTAAGTAGGTTCCATCTCTTTCCTCTTCCCTGTCTAAGTCATTGTTGTCATAACTTACTCCACTTTGTGTTGTGAGTTGTGGTTAAAATGAAGTGATTACAGTTATTTTTGGTATTCTCCTTCCCTTTATCTTTAATGTTATAATTAAGTGTTTGCTAACCTGTTCTGATAGAGAGCTGCAATTTTCTGATTTTGTCTGCCTGTTTATCTCCTTGCTTAAGGCTTTGTAAATGCTTTCTCTTTTCAGGTATGAGAGGCTTCTTGATCATTTCTTGTTGGGAGGGTCTTGTAGCAATGAACTCCCTCAGCTTTTGTTTAATCTGGGAAAGTTTTTATTTCATCATCATCTCTGAAGGATATTCTCGCTGGATAGAGTATTCTTGGCTGAAAGTTTTTGTCTTTCAGAATTTTGAATATATCATTCCTCTCTCTCCTAGCCAGTAAGGTTTCTGCTGAGAAATCTGCTAAAAGCCTGACAGGGGTTCCTTAGTAGGTTATTTTCTTCTCTCTTGCTGCCCTTAATATTTTTTCTTTGTCATTGACTTTTTGCCAGTTTTACTAATATATGCCACGGAGAAGGTCTTTTTACATTGATGTAATTAGGAGTTCTGTTAGCTTCATTTACTTATAATTCCACTCCGTCTCCAGGTTTGGGAAGTTCTCAGCTATTATTTCTTTAAACAAACTCTTCGCTACTTTCTCCCTCTTCTCTCCCTCTGGAATACCTACAGTCCTTATGTTGCATTTCCTAATTGAGTCAGATATTTCTTAGAGAATTTCTTCATTTCTTTTTAGTCTTAGATCTCTCTCCTCCTCCATCCGAAGCTTTTCTGTATTTCTGTCCTCTAAATTCCTAATTCTCTCCCCCATAATATCAGCTCTATTATTTAAGGACTCCAGATTTTTCATCTCTTTCATAGTTTTTCATCTCCAGCATTTCTGGGTTGTTCTTTTTCTTTATAGTTTCAATCTCTTTTATGAAGAATTCCCTCTGTTCATTAATTTTATTCCTGATTTCATTGAACTGTCTTTCTGAGTTTTCTTGTAACTCATTGAGTTTTTTTATGATAGCTATTTTGAATTCACTGCCATTTAGATTGTAAATTTCTGTGACTTCAGGATTGATTTCTGGGTATTTGTCATTTTCCTTCTGGTCTAGAGTGTTAACATACCTCTTCATAATATTTAATGTTATGGATTTGTAGGGTTGCATAGTGGTAGTATCTGGTTGCAGATTCCACCTACTGCCACTGGGGGTGGGGCAGGAGCTGTCTATTCTGAGCCACCACAATCCCTGACAGCTGTGCCTGTCCTTTAGAAGTTGTGCTGACAGGGCCCATCTATGTTTTCCCACTTGCTGCTGCTGCTTTACACATGTAGGTGCACAGGTACTCTATAGGTGGTCCCTTGCTCTGGCCAACCGGCTGAGCTGGTGCACCAGGAAGGGGGAGATGTGCTTTCTTTCACATACATGATCCCTAGGGTGCTCTTGCTCTGTGCTCACTGTCTGCCCTCCAGGGCTGCTCGTGTTGGTGAAGATGCCCCTGTGATTGCTTAGCTGCCTCAGTGTGGAACATACCCAGGGCTGGGAGGCAACTCCAAGAAGGAAGGCATTCGCATGGAGGGCTGCCCTTTCCCCACCTCCTCTCAGAGCCAAGTGCCAGCTGCCATGTGCAGTCTCACACCCTAGATTGCTGCCATTTGGGGAGGGTGAGGAGATCCCATTACCTCCTTCCACTGCCTCCTCATGGTTTCCAGCACCTCCACCATCAGACATATGGCTGTGTGGCTTGCTCAGACATCTGTCATGTTACGTGAATGTCTTCTTTTGGTTTACAAGTGTCCTTTTTGTTGTATCTTAGGGAAGAGAGTCTAAGGGAAGAGCTCACTCTGTCATGATTCTGACGTCACTCCTCCTGCTCTGCCTGGGTCAAGGTGGTGGAGGCAGTGGCGTGGGTAGCCTGCCCCAGGGCTGGGCTAGCATCTGGCGAAATACCTTTTTGTGAATGAATGCCCTTGTAAAGCTATTTAAGTAGTAGGATCTCAAGCTTTTGGAATAGTGCCAGAATAAATATTTGTGGCATGATAAATGAATAAATGGTGTGAATACTAACTCTTTATCTATCATATTTGTTTCAAACGTGGTCAAACCTTAAGAAAATTTTTGCCTTTGTACATGTACAAAGATAATGTTATCTTGATTCTTAGTCTTTAAAACCTAATTTTTTTTTTCATTCTTTTCTTCCCCCATAGTTCATCCATGAGCTCGGATTTCCCACATTACAACTTCAGGATGCCTAATATTGGATTCCAGAATCTTCCTCTCAACATATATATTGTGGTTTTTGGCACTGCTATATTTGTCTTCATCCTTAGTTTACTCTTCTGTTGCTACTTGATTAGGTAATCAATTTTCATTCTGTGTTATTTCAGAATATGTTAATCAATAATAAACCAACTTTCTGTCCTTAAGTTAAAAAATTTACAAGTATGATAATTAGCAAATTTTCCAAAATTAATGTGGCTAAACATTTTAACCCTCTGTGAGTTATCAGTAACCTTTATACAGTCTTCAATCCTTTCTGCTGATGAGGTATTTTACTCAATAGGAAAAAATTGTCTTCATTTATTTTTATATTTTTTAAAGCATTTTCTTTTAAAGATTGACAGCTGAGCTAACATCCATTGCCAATCTTTTTTTTTTTTTCTCTTCTTCCTTTCCCCTAGTCCTCCAGTACATAGTTGTAGGTCCTTCTAGCTGCACTATGTAGGATGCCACCTCAGTGTGGCTTGATGAACGGTGCCATGTCTGCGCCCAGGATCCAAACCAGCAAAACCCTGGGCTGCCAAAGTGGAGCACGCGAACTTAACCACTTGGCCATGGAGCCGGCCCCTGTGTTCATTTATTTTTCCAACATATTAGTACCTAGTCCAGGTACACTATGTCATTGGCTGTCCCCAAGATCTAATCTGCTTTCAAAGAGATTTCAAGATTTCTTTTCAGAAGAGTGTTGCATCATTGTTAGCTAAAGTCATTAGGGACCAGAAAACAGCTTCCAAGACAAGATCCAAGCCTTTAAACAGGTTCTTGTGGTTTCTCACAAAGATTTTAAACTCCCATTTGTTGTCAAATTGGTCAGGTATTCAAGTGATTGATTATCTGCATAAAACATTAAATATTCCATAAGCTCTGTAGCACATGTACAGACAAGTGAGGAAGGATAACACCTCACTTGAAGGAGTAATGGATTTGGCTAGTAAAGATTTACAGTTGACTGACTCATAATTGTTTAAGAAAGCATTTTTCTCTTTTTAAGTTTTTAAATAGGGCCTAATTTTCAAAGCCAAAACTGAGACACTAAAAATTTTTATACTGTGTTGTTCAAAGAGTTTTATCAAGTAAAAGAAGAGAAAATTGAATTTTCTTAGCTGTATGTCTAACAGTTTTTAGTGTTTGCACAATATATGATTATGGTTAAGATAAATGCCATCATCAGATATCTTTCAACAAAAACTCATTGTTGCCACCAGTGTTTTGGGGCATTTGCTTACTGATGGTCAAATTCTAATGAATTTAGTATGTAGTTACTGATTTTCTGAAAAGTGAATTTCATTCTTCATAGAAAGTGAATCTTTTCTGAAGTTCTCACAAAATGTAATCACTTCTTATATCTTATATGATTTATAGGTTTTGCTCAGAGAAATAAATTAAGTACTTAGCTAATATAATTATAGCATTTAGGAAAATTTTTTTTAAAATCTCTTTCCAGAAATTTCCTTTTTTTTAATTTAAAATTTCTGTAATATTAGTTTGCTTAATACTTACATAACATTTATCATTTTTTTTAAATTAGGAATTAGCCATGGCACAGACAAGACCTCATAGCATTAAAATATATTCTTTTTTTCAGACCTACTAAATTTTTTAGTGATTCCTCTACAAATAATGACTTAATTCAGAAATTTGTGAATTTAATATTTGAAAGCAAATTATTTTTTAAAAGACAAAAATAATACTAACATTAACAAAATATAAAAAAAAGAAAAGTTTGGGACCAGCCCCGTGGCCTAGTGGTTAAGTTCCTGTGCTCTGCTTCAGTGGCCCGGGGTTTCGCTGGTTCGGATCCTGGGTGCAGACATGGCACCGCTCGTTAGGCCATGTTGAGGTGGCGTCCCACATGCCACACCTAGAAGAACCCACAACTAAGATACACAACTATGTACCAGGGATCTGGGGAGAAAAAGCAGAAATAAAAAAGATTGGCAACAGTTGTTAGCTCAGGTGCCAATCTTAGAGAAAAAAAAAAGAAAAGGTTCATTAAGGAAGAGTTACCATATATAAAATATTCTGAAATGTATAACTCATAGTACAGTTTTTATTACTGTGTCAAAGAATTAATTAAGCCTTTAACTTTTTTGTTTTCAGAAAAACACTAATATACCAGTTGTGATTCTGGGTAAATTTTTTGAGGAATAAGTTGTGAAACACCATTTACCTCATTGTATTCCTTTTAATAAGAAATAAGTAAAGACATAAAGAAAAAAATGATAGCAGTTGTTTTCATGCATTATCCTTGTATTTCATTTTATCCTTTCGGGATCCTTTTTTATTATTAAGCTAACAGAACAAGTAAATGGGGATCTGCTACACTAAAATGAAATTATCTTGTTTAATCAGAGAAGTCAGTCATGTTCAAACATTTCTCAACTTCATTTACAAGTCATTGGTACCATTTTGAAAATTTAATCACGACTGAAGGAGTTAGTTCTCCCTTTCTGATGATCCTAGGTTGTTACTTTTAACCTTTCGCATGTTAAGTTTGGATTTAACAGGTCATTTACAGTTAATCTGGAGATTCATGGATCCAGCTTCTCTAAAGTTGCCCAAGCCCATTTTTGAACATAACTTAAGCTCTTCAGCACTTTCCTTGGGAGCTCCTCTGTTCTCAGGCAGAGTTCCTTCCAGTCACAGCCAGACTCATCAGAAACATGGGAGGGACATAACTTAGGTCTAAACAACACCCACCACCAACCACATTCTTACACAACATTGTAGTATAGAATCTATTGCCTGTGATAGAGCTATGAATAGATCACTACTGGAGAACAAAAGAAGGACATCTTACCTTGGGAGGAGTGATCCTATTTCATAACGAATCATATACTATTCTAATTTGTGTTTGTTATTCATCTTTCTCTCCAGATAGATATTTGTTTATTCTGTTTGTTGTATCTCAAATACCCAGAACAGCGCCTGGCACAATATTGGCACTCAGTAAATGTGTCTTGGGTAAATGAAAGAATGATGTCCCTAGTAGGAAGTCACTGGATGCGCATAAAGCTGAAAAATCAAGAAGTAGCAACACAGCAAAGATAGAGACATGGAAGTAAATATCAAAATAGTGAGCTAAGGGGGAAAAAATGGTTATCTGTGGAGAAGAGGGCAGAGGACTGCTGATTTTTCTTGTTACTAACCCTGTAGAACTATGTATGACTTTGAAATATGTGCATATATAATTTTGATAAAATTAAAAACTAAAAAGGAAAATTTGTAAATGAAGTTTAGAACCAAGATAATAACAATAGAGCTAGAGAGGGTGATAGGTATAGTTGTGATAAATATTTGGGAGGTGAAAATGAACAGAATTTGGTGACTGGACATTAAGGAAAAGAAAAGGATTAGCTTAGAGTCTTTCCTGGACTTCTGCTTCAGGCACCTTGGGTGGATAGCAGTCCCTTCACAGAAATAGAAAATGGATGGGTGTGTTTGGGGTGGAAGGATGATAAATTCTGTTTCAGATATGGGAGGATGGAGTTCTTTGAGTAACAGTCAAGATGTTTAGTACACAGTTGGATATACAGGTCTAAAACTTATGAGAAGTCTGATCTGGAAATAGGAGATCATGTAATAATAGGTGGAGGATGAAGCCAGGAGTGTCCCCTAGAGAGAACACTAGCACCCCTAGATAGAATATGTATCATGAAATAAAATAGGTCCCAGAAGATTCCTAGGGAAACATTGATATTTAAGAGGAACCCATAAAAAAGACCAGGAAGGAGGTGCTGGCCTGGTGGCATAGTGGTTAAGTTTGCACACTCCACTTCAGCAGCCCAGGGTTCATGTGTTCGGATCCCAGGCAGGGACCTACACACCGCTCATCAAGCCATGCTGTGGCGGCATCCCACATACAAAAAATAGAGGTGGATTGTTACAGATGTTGGCTCAGGGACAATTTTCCTCAAGCAAAAAGAGGAAGATTGGCAACAGATGTTAGCTCAGGGCCAGTCTTCCCCCCAAAAAAAAGACTAGGAAGGGATAGCAGGAGATAGGAGGTAAATCATGAGAGAGGTGCCCCACAAGTAGGGTTTCAATGGGTTGAGTCAGTTTTGTCAGCTGCTTCCAGGGAGGTCCATAAAGAGAAGAGTTGAAAAGTTCTTGTTATGTTTGACAGTTAGGTTTGCATCTACAATCTTAGAAAAGTTTCAGTAGTGTGGATGCAGGGGTGATGAAAGGCAGGCTATAAGGGGGCAAAGCCTAACCAGCAGGTGAAATGAAAACAAGGAATATAACCTCCTCTTTGAAGAATTGTGGCTGAGAAAAGATTGGGGTGGGTGGGCAGTTGTTGTGGAATCAAGGAAGTATTTTGGTGTTTGGTTTTTTTTCAAGATAGAGATTTGGGCATATTAATAAATATAACATTAAGGAGAATGAACTAATGGATTTATGAGAAAGAATGAGTCATGGTGGTAAGAAGAGACACCTCTAAAAGTTAGAGCAGTATTAATCCTAAGCAGGAGAATACCTTCTTTTTTTTTTTAGATTTTTTTCTTTTTCCTTTTTCTCCCCAAAGCCCCCCAGTACATAGTTGTATATTTTTAGTTGTGGGTTCTTCCAGTTGTGACATGTGGGACACCACCTCAGCATGGCCTGATAAGCAGTGCCATGTCCGCACCCAGGAGTCAAACTGGTGAAACCCTGGGCCGCCGAAGCAGAGTATGCAAACTTAACCACTCAGCCGCAGGGCCAGCCCCGAGAATATCTTCTTAAGACAGAGGTGACAGTAACTGTAGAAAACAATACACATGTAGGTATATGGGGCTAGGAGCAAGAGAGCTGCATACCTGACAACCTTTCTTTCTCCATAAAGTAGGTGAAAATGTTAGGGAAGGAAGTGGTAGGAGAAAGCTTTAAGAGAGTGGCAGGGTTTGAAGTGAGTACTACATGGAAGCTTAGGATACTGAGCATGAATAGGTAGAATTAGAGAGCAACGTGGAGAGTCTAGCTGAGAATGGAGACTACTTATTTGTAGTGGCCATAAGCTGGATGGTTTTATCATTTTCTCCAGCAGTGTTCAGCATTGTTAATTGTGTCCTCTTAAATACTTTTTTAGGAATAAATATTT